CCTTTTACTTGTCCCCTGGATATTTCCACCTGGATGCCTCTCAAGGACTGCAAACTCAACCTGCGCTTTTCTGAACTCACCATCTTTCCCCCTCAGAAACGGCTTCCCTCACTATGCCCTACCGAACAGCACTGCATTCCATTCAGTGCCCAAGCCAGAAACTTAAATGACGTTTTAGAGTCTTCTCTTATACCCAATATCAAAAGTTTATTAACTCATTAATTCAGCAAACGTTTCCACATGTGTCCTCAGGTTGGATGGCGTCTGTTTATCTGGTCATTTCTTATATTTGGACAGTAGGACCCACCTTTCCTTCTTTTGAGTCAGATTGCTGTGCTCTGTGGGGAAGGGAAATATGAGCAGGTGGCTCATGTTTCAGAACAGAGGGGGGTGCTTCCTGATTCAGACATGAAAGCAGTAAGGAGGGGGAGACAGAGAAGAGGGATGTCAAGTCACTGTGGGTATCCAGCCCAGGCATTCCATCGAGTCTTCTGCTAAGTTGTGACTAAGGTGTAAATTCCAATTTCAGAAAGCCTCAGGATGCGTGATTTGTTTATTTGTTCTTCTTCATTCATCCCTACACTGAATTACCCCAGTGGTTTGTAGTATATTCACCAAGCTATGCAACCAACAACACTGTAATTCCAGAACACTCCATCACCCCCAAAAGAAACCCCATGCTCATTAGCAGGCACTTCTTAGCCCCCCAATCTTTCATTCCTGACATGCTCTGTGGTGATGCATCATTAAAGGAGAAAACATTAGAGAAATAAGACAGAAGAGAAGCGGTAAACATCAACTTTGCATAGGGTCTGTTGGAAACCTGAACAGCTGAATGCCGAATGAAGGTCCTCACTCGTCTGGCTAACAATTTCCTCTCTTGGAGACTAGAGCAAAACAATAACGTGGGTTTAACTGATCAGAATGGGTGGTATCACTCTAGACTCTGCCTGCCCGGTAGGGAGGAACTGGCTGGGAGAGTCATCGTGCCCTTGCCACCAGCAAGAAGAGGTCTGGACACAGACAGTCAAGTTCCTCTGACCCTGTGAAGGTAGAGAGAATGCCATGGCACGGGAAATGGGCTTAAACTTCCAAAGCTACGGGGCACGGAAGAATACACAGGGTGCTCAGCTGAGAAGCCATGACTGGGAAACGTGTGATTGCTGTTATCTGGTACCTGAAGGGTTGTCACCTGAGAGCTGAGACTTGTTGTGTAGGCCACCAGGGGCATAATGAGACTCACAGGTGGAAAATTACAGGGAGACAGCAACATTTCAGGTCATTACAGGGGAGGGTTTCCTTAGTCACGCAATCCTCAGGCCAAATGGGCTGCCTGTAGGGGAGAGTGTTAAAATGCAATCTGGACGTTCAGTAAGTGGATGCATTAGTGGAAATCTGAAAAACAGAAGGTGATGTGGCGGCTGCGGCAATCCCACACTTGACTGGTGAGGCCGACTGTGGGGTGGGGTGTCTTGCAAGTGATCTGTTAGAGCACTAAAACTGAAGTGTGTGATTTACTGTATTTAGATTGTGGTTACCATTATAACACCACTCTTACTTACTTACATTGTTAAGCACTTTCTTGAGTGAAAGTGAAAAACTCTGTGTTCAAGGTGGCAGGCTGGGGAATGCTCACAGGAATGTTCCACTGAAGTGTGTTTATAGGTGGAGCCTCAGGCTAGATGACAGGTAGGATCCCTTCTACAGCTGAGATTCCTCAAAAGCAGGGACATACCCCCCACCCCTGCCCCTGGCCTTTCAACCTAATCAGGACCTACTGGAGAACAGGTGTCACCGTGTTTCTGCCGAGTCTGTCTGCGGACTGCACAGTCTCAGTCTCGTGCCTACAGGAGACACGAGGAACAAGTCCTGGGGTTGCACTGGAAATCTATCGAAAGGGCAAGTGAGGACTAAATTAGCTACATCTGTCTGCATGTTTTATCTTCACAGAACCGTCGTTCAGATGGTTTCAATGCGAACAAAGAAAAGTTTATACATAGAATTGTATGCCTGAAACCTGTATGATTTTGTCAACCAATGTCACCCCAATAAATTCAATAAAGAAATAAATAAAATGGTTATACATGATGTAAATATGGCCAGAAAACATTATTTGCTCTTTGAAACATTAAATATTTTTTCCTCTAAGCAAGAAATGACATGAACTGGTAACTAACAGAACTTGAACTTAGCCAACCTCACCTCCATCCAAACTGGAACTTTTACTTTTCAGCTCCCTGGATAAATGGCCTTGGCAGAAACTGCTGTCACAAAGGCCAACTGTAGAAGTGCCATCATAAAAACACTTGACTGACCAACTCAGGCCTTTGCAGATCCCTCCCTGACCCCTTTCCCTTGTCCTTTCCTGCCACTCTGCCAACTGACCAGATGTTAATCACCCCTCTGGAATGCAAGAGCAACTGAGCAGATGGGAGGTATCTAGTCACCTGGTGCAGTGCACTACTCGGCAGCCCTGGGATTTCTGGCACCTCATAATATTTTTTATTACAAAATTTTTTTCATTATAAAACTATTATTACTACATTATAAAAATTTGGGAACTAGAGAAAATAGAAAAATCACTTATGATCCCATCACCCCAGTAAAATCACTGTTTGCATTTGGTGCACTGTCTCCTTTCCTTCAGGGTTCTCTGGACAGAGCCACACGGACCACATGTGTGTAGCTTATCTGGGCCCCGCCACCTCTGAACAGGGTCTGCAGCAGCCTATATAAACCTTGTCATCAGACAGACGGCTCCATGTGGACACTCTCTCTCCAAAACCAGCCTAACCCCCGTCTTCCTGGGTTCTACCTCCTCATCCTCCAGGTTGAAGCTCCCGCCCTGTCTCGGCTCCCCTCCCTGAACTCTAACACCCATTCCCGCCACTATGGCCACTGCCGCCCTCTCCCCCATCCCTCCTCCCCAGCAACGCTGCCGCCCTCTCCAGCCCAGCTCCTTACTGCCTACCTACAACCCCGAGCGATTACAAGTTGGAGCTTCTCTGACGTTTCTCCGCCTCTACTCCCCCCCCCCCCTTATCCTTCGTCTGTGCCAATAAGCTGTTTTCCTCATTTTCACTGCTCTTCCTAAACCACAGATTGAAAACAACAGATTTTGGACTGTCTGGCAAAGTAGATTCTTTGGTTACAAAGATGTAGAACTTGTCCCCGGTCTACCTTTCTTGCCCCACCTGTTACCACTGTGCTACCGGAATCCTCTGCAGTCACCTGGCACACGGGAAACTAGAGGCAGGACCCAGGCCAGCTCCCTGGGGCTCCACCCTGCAAGGCGAGTGTCACTGGGGCCAGCTGCGATGGAGTCACAGGTACTAGACCTGTCCTTCTCATGAGCAACTATGAAAGGGGGCCAAGTAGGTGAAGCAGCTGTTTGCAAGCATTCACCTAAAAGCGGCTGGGCGGTGGACCTGGAGAGAGGGGGTGCAGGAAGTGCGCCCCCCTGCAGCCTGGCTTTCTGCCCAGGGGCACTTTCACACCAGGGCTCAGGGGAGTGAGCTCACACCACAGCCTCCGCATGCACACAGCAGACACGCAGCAGGGCCCTTTCTCAGGGCTCAAGAAACCAACACAGTATTTGCTTTTTTAATTAGGGTGTTCACAGGTTGGGTTTTAAAAATACACAGTTCCTCAAAAATTTCTATGGGGATTTTTCTCTCTTTGTGTTTTATCTTCCTTTCCATTTCCTTCAGTGGAAAATACTGACCTATTCTGCCCGCAGTTTCAAGGAGCACTCCCACTAACAGAAGACAAAAGCACTTATAGACAACAGTGCTCCCTGTCTCTCTGGCTCCTCTCTACTAGCTTCACTGCCTGTTACAGTACAGAGGAGATTAGATGCTGAACCTGCACAGTTTTATATTAGTGGAATATGTAAACACCTCTGCAATGTTTTAAAAAAGACTAAGCCACTTGGCCATCAACACTTCACTGCTTACTAGAACCACAGAGTGGATATCCACCCTGGGCAAGCTGTCCAAGGCCATGTTAGAACCAAAGCCATAACTGAGAATGACTGAAGCCAAAGCAGTCACCCAGACACCACCCTAGAGAGGGGAATATCTGGGGAGAAATTAAACTGGGGATTGATAGAGCTTGCTCTTCTCATACCCCCACACTTTCCTTTTCCCCTACTGTAGTTTTCAAAGGCTGCTGGCCTCAAATCCTGCTTTTGCCTGCTTACCTCCATCCCGAAAGAAAGTAGAAAGAGCCCCTAACAGTTGCCTTTTGCAATTTACTGGGTACATGAAGACCTACTGGGAGCAGGACAGGCTCCTCCAGCTCACTGGAGGAGCACTCCTCAGGGGAGGTGCTCCTAGCATCCACTGCCGCGCATGCCTCTGGAGAGCATCACCCCTTCATTCACCCCATCCATTGTTAAATGCAGGAAAAGAGCCCTATGTTTCTCCTAAGCAGAGCCCGTCAGGGCTTTCTTCTAAGATAGGGGTGTCAAACTCATTTTCACCGGGGGCCACATCAGCCTCATGGTTGCCTTCAAAGGGCCAAATATAATTTTAGGGCTGTATAAGTGTAACTAACTACTCCTTAACTAGAGGCAAAAAGCTTGGCGCTGCTGCCAGGTAGAAACAAGGTGCCAGGCCAGATAAAACAAGGTGGAGGGCCGGATTCAGCCCCTGGGCCTTGTGTTCACCACCTGTGTCCTAACACATCATACCCAAACTGGAAAGTCCTGAAGGGCCAAGGCCTGACATCAGTTCTTCTGCCCTCTCTGCTGCCCGTTCTAAGGCCACGGAAGGACTCTGCTCTGCTGAAAAGACATATCTTAGCTTCACCAAAGTCACCACAGGAGCACAATCCTTAGGCCTCACATTTGTGCAGCCTCAGTGGCTTCTGACAAGTTCAGGAACAAGGCAAACTCAAGCTTGCACCTTACACCGCCTGGGGAGTACAAGGCAGCCAGGCCGACCACAAGCTATGCACACTGTCTGCTACCCAGAATGGTACAGAAATCTCTAACCTACCGTCAGCAAGTGGCTTACAGGAGAGGGCATCATCAAGGTCTCGGGCAGTTGGTGGGTCAATGGTGAAGGTACAGTCTTTTCTAGGAAAGATTGAAGAAACAATCAGTGATGCCACAAACAGAAACTTTACTCAATGCAGCACAGCTGTAAAGAACAGTTACTGTGAAAAGGTGCAAATGGTAGGCAAAGTGCAGAGAGACTTCCAGTGTCTCTCTGAGGGGGGTCTTCAGTAAAACGAGAGACTGGGGGGGGGGGCTGGCTCCATGCTGTCTCCGAGTAACTGTCTCTCTCTCTGTGGACCTGTTTCTCCTTGACTCTGAAGAGGAGCAGCTGTGAGAAGGTGGAAGCGAGACCGCATCCATGAAAGAGGCTTCCCAAGAAGCACTGTCTCACAAGAGAGGCAAGTCTCCTCGGTAAACCACTCTCCACAGCCGGTTCTTCCTTTCGCTTCCCTCTTCCTCAGTGGCTGATGGAGGCCTGTCCTCCTCTCCCTCCGGTTTCACTTCAGGAGCTACATGAGGATAGTTTACTGCTGCTTCTCCTTTCTCCCCAAAGAGGATTGTGCTAAAAAATAAATCACCTATACTCTGGTTTCCCTTTGGATCATATAAATCTTTCTTCTAACCTCTCCTGACCCAACCTAACTTCTGACCCAAGAATAAGTTTTGCAAAAAACTTGAAGCCATACAGTTAGCCGTAATAAAATTCTACTTGGAAATCCTCATCATGGTTTGTTTCCATGCCCCATCACCCGACACGCCCTCTGTCCACTTATCTTCACTCACTATCCTCCATGCACATGTCACTTCTACTCTGTGAAACACCTGGCCATTCTCTTTTTGCTTTGGAGTTTCTCAAATAACATGCCCCACCCAACCCAGTCATTCCTAGCATGTAAATACCTAGAGATCAGGGCGGAGTCTGGCCCCAACTCTCCATCCCTTCTGCCCTTTCCGCCCCAGGCACTGGCCTGGAGATGGGGGTGTTCATCAGGTCACCAAAGGCTGTGTTCCAGTGCTAGGAACATAGGCTGCAACTCACAAGTGTTTACAGAATGAATGAATGAATGAATGCTGACAGGATGGGACAGGGAGGTGCAATTAATCCAGACACAGCAGTAATGGGCTCTAAATTGGTGAGAATCTTGAACCTGATTCACAGAGTAAAGAAGAAACTACCTGCTTCTTGCTTCTTTTTGTATTCTCCATAGAAACTAGCAAAATGCTTTCTATATACTGAGTACTCAATAATATTGTTGAACTGGAACTGAAATGTCAGACTTGATGGTAGGAGTATTTTGGCCCACCTCTCTTCATCATAATGATGTCAAAAGAAGCTTAAAAAACATCCCTGTAGTCAAAATAAAAAAGAACACTTTTATCTTGGGAGTTGGGGGAGGACCACAGTTTACTGGTTTACTTGGAGAGTTGACTAGAAAGAAATGTTTTCTTACAATTAAATGTCTGGGTGACTTGAGACTTTTATTTCTATGAATGAATGATAATTCCCACTAAAATATTTCCAGCCTCACCCTGGCTGATGTGGCTCAGTGGATTGAGAGCTGGCCTGAGAACCAAAGGGTCGCCAGTTCGATTCCCAGTCAGAGCACATGCCTGGGTTGCAGGTCAGTTCCCAGTGAGGGGCACTTGAGAGGCAACCACACATTTGACACTTCTCTCCCTCTCTTTCTCCTTTCCTTCCCCTCTCTCTAAATAGTAAATAAATAAAAATATTTTTTAAAAAATTAAAAATAAATAAAATATTTCTAGCTTCAAACTGATCCAGTCGTATGTAACAGAGTAAAAGTACTCTGTAAGGCTTCAAATTTTAGTTTGTCCACATCTTCTTTGAAAGGACCCACAAATTGAAAAAAATCTTAGACTAAATTGTAGTACTCAAACCAATTCTTTTCTAGTTAAAAAAAATCGACTCTTAAACCAGAAACATAAAAATCTAAATTAAAACAATTCTGAGGAACAGTCATCAGGAAAGTTTGCTGGAAAAACATACCATCAAAACATTATTCTTGATCAGGGGTGGGCAAACTACGGTTCACAGGCCAAATGGGGCCTGCCACCTGTTTGGAATGGCCTGCAAGCTAAGAATGGTTTTTGCATTTTTAAATGGCTGGGGGAAAAATCAAAAGAAGACTCCCTCATGACATGTAAAAACTATATGAAGTTCAAATTTCAGTTTCCATAAACGGAGCTCTATTGACACATCACCACCCATTCTCGGTACAGTGGCCGAGGTAAGTATATGACAGGACTGTCTGCTTAAACCCTGTCAGGCTGGCCCTTAGCAGGAAGTTTGCTGACCCCTGTTTTAAATCAGTGCTTCCCCAATGTGCCAAGTAAGTGGAGAAGTAAATTTCAATTTTTTAGAAAGCTCCTGTAATTAAATCGATTTGGGAAATGTCAAGCCAATTTCTTAATTGTAGGACTTCTGTTTTTGTTTTTGTTTTACATTGAAGCAATCGTAGTGACACTGGTTAATAAAATGTATAGGTTCAAGGGTACAGTTCTATAATGCATAATCTGACCACCGTATCACATGCTCGCCACCCCAGGTCAAGTCTCCTCCCATCACCACTTTGTGGGACTTCTCAGAGCCTTCAGTATGTTGGCACTGCACAGTTATTGACAGACTTGTTTGATCTTGGCACTTTTAATGGCAGAGACTCTCCCAGATGCAGGGTCCCTTCGGCCAGTACCCACTGAGAAGTGATGAACTGCACAGAAACACCCTGCACAAGCCGCCCATGGAGTCCTTGCCCCACTTGGGACCTTGTCACCCAGCCTACCCTGAGGGACACTGCAAGAAGTCAACGAAATGGATACACTGCTCCTGCAGAGAAGCTGGTGGGGGCCTCGCCCACTTCATGGCTCAGCGCCCCTTCTCCAAGGGAAGTTTATACAGTGCAAGGACTCCCTCTTCTTGTCTGGAGCGGGTGTGTTTGTATCTTACACACATGGGGATTTTATCTTTTCAGATTTCCCTCTCTGCTTTGGCTGCCAGGAAACTCAAAACATTTGTGTCTTGCATTAAAGGATCTTATTTTTAGTCTGAACTTTGTGAACTAACCTTTATCCTGGCTTGCCTAATTTTTCTATGTATATATTCCTTCTGCCCCATATCCTAATTTAAAAAATTAGCTGCATTAAATGTGTTACTGCAAGCTGCCTTAAACCATACGTTTAAAAGCAGAGTAGAGGTAAATCCCTATGTATGTCGAGAGGTTCGGGAGGAAAGGAGACATTCAGTATGGGCCACTAAGGAAAACAACGTCTAGGCTGAGCAAACCCGTGGAGATCCCGACAAGTATTCGTACTGTGGCAGTGGACTCCAACTTGTTCTCTCACTCTGGAAATTTGGGAGAAGCAAGGGAATAGTGAGTGACCCTGACAAAGTCCAGTCCTCAGTACTGAGAGCCAGTGACTTAATCTGTTGTCATCGCCACAATTACGGCTCAGCCATGATGTGGCGCCTGAGGGCTCCTTCTGGTTGTGGGCCACAGCGGCTGGGAGCTGCTGGCCTCAGCAGCTGGGAGCCCAGCCCCACGGGCAGTGCGCTGGGCAGCTGTTATACTCTGTTAACATGCTTTGGATTTTACTGGCTCCTTTTCTGGAAGGCTTTGGGCTCACAACCTGCAGGGAGCAACCTGGCCTGCCAGCTTTTAGAACCTGTGAGACCAAATATTTAAAGAGTTCCGCAACAATGGTTAGAAAGAAGCTAACCCTGACCCACAGAAAATAAAGTGCCAGGTGGGGGAGGGAGACTCCCGTTCATGAGGCTGCAGAATTCCAGTTCAGAGCAATGTTATGTAACCAAAATTTCCGAAGGCACGTGACTAAGGGCTCAGTACAACATTTTAAAGTGACAGGAATCTTCTAAGATCATTTTATGCGAAGCCACTGATTCAGGAAAATAACACAGGAAGAATAACAAGAAGTCTTCTGTAATCCGAAAGGGCTGGCCAAGAACCCCAGGAACTCAAAAAGCATAGGAAGAGTTTCTGTTCCTCTGTCACTCACATGCTCTCTTTCACCTTGCGCCCTCTTCCTCAAGGGACCGGCATCGCCGCTCCTTGCAGCGGCGCAACAGCTGTCTGGTCTCCACAGCAACTGCTACTCACCACTCTGTCACTGTTCACCTCACTGGGGTTTGGCCATGGCTCCTACCACATCATACAAAGTGCTCTCCCCACGGTCATGAGGCTGCCAGATTCACCATCTTAAAGCATGCATCTGGTCAAAACCCTTCATCAACTCCTTACTTGGTAAAACAGAAATTCAGCTTAGAATTCAAAACCTTTCCAAGAAGGCCCCAACCTATATTTTTCAAGCAAGACTGTACATGCCCAACACATACCTTATGCGCCAAACTAGTCTCTGAGACATCGTTGGTGCTGTCCCTCACGCTGGGACACTTCCCCACCAGTCTCCACTGGCTAAGAGCTACATGGCTTGTAAAGGCCCGGCTGCAATGCCATCTTCTTCTCTGGGGGACCTTCATGGCTCCAGAGTGGAAGCCACCTCTCCCTGACTGCCCTGCCCACCCCTGGGACCTGTCTCTCTCCAAAAAACCGGCCACCGCCCCAAGCATGCCAACGGTTGCTTAAGGATGTGTCTCACAGCAGTGACAAGGCCAGAAACCCTCCGGGGTCTGGCTGCAAGGCTGGCCTGTCTCGGTGTCTCCTCCAGCTTATACTGAAGGAACACGTGTAAAGAACAGCTGATGGACAAGTGAATGAAAACATGATGAAAGGGCTCTCTTTAGCATTTGTCCATTCAATTCTGCCACTGTGTCTTGGGAAATACATTTAGGATTAGAACCCGTGACCTCTCAGCATCCAAACCTGTGGTCACACCACAGGTTACTGTTTCCAGGCTGTCCTTTTCTGTCTGGCCCACCTTCTTTTCTCTTTTTTAAAAAGATTTTTATTTATTTATTTTTAGAGAGGGGAAGGGAGGAAGAAAGAGAGAGAGAAACATCAACGTGTGGTTGCCTCTTGTGTGGCCCCCACTGGGAACCTGGCCCGCAACCTAGGCATATACCCTGACTGGGAATCAAACCTGCC